TTCTTCGCGCACTCGGACCTCGAGGGTTCTGTTGCGCGTGAGGAAATTACCTTCAAATTCGTACCTGTGTCTAGTCCACACTTCAATGGCTTAGCAGAGGCTGCCGTCCGCTCAACTAAGCATCATCTTCGTAGGTTACTGCAAATAACTCATTTTACCTTCGAAGAAATGGCTACTTGCCTTACCCAAATAGAGGCAGTTTTAAACTCTCGTCCCTTGACCCCACTGTCCTCTGATCCCTGTGATTTTTCCGCCTTAACTCCAGCTCATTTTTTAATTCGACGACCACTTGTAGCTATTCCGCATCCAGAGGTGTCATCCAGCAACATCACTGCTCTTGAGCGCTTTAAGCGCTTGAATCGCTTCAAGATTGAATATATTTCTTTGCTGCAGGCAAAGACTAAATGGAGATCTTCAAGGTCCGAGCTGAAACCGGGATCTCTGGTTATTATTAAGGATAAGGCTCTTCCTCCTCTTCTATGGGCTTTAGGAAGAGTGATCAGGCTCTACCCAGGAAGCGACGGCATCTCCAGAGTGGCAGAGCTTAGAACGTCAGGCGGTACCATTCGCAGGGCATATAATAACATATGTCCTCTTCCAGATTTTGAAGCCTCCAGCCTTCAACCGGGGGAGCATGTTGCGACAGCGATTTAACTAAACGCACTACAATGGGCAACAGCGCGGCGTGCGGGGGGACTACCCGGACGTGTGCGACGAGTGGGGGACCGAGCCGGGAGGAGCAGAGGATATAAAACAGCCGTTGCTCGCCTTGGGACACGACCGTGGACGGTCCGACTTCAACCTCACACTACATATCGTGTAAAGACCTGGCGATTAAAATACCAGTTATACAGTCCACTGTCATTTTATTTACGTCCCCTGGACCCTTAACTACTACGTAACGCCAAGAGATCGAGCCGATCGGCGATGACGATGGCGGAAATTTGCGACTGGTATTAGTCCGAACAATTCCTTGGAGCACTCTCCATGATATACGCGATAGAGAAAGCAGAGTGAAGCCACATCTCTACGTAACGCCAAGAGATCGAGCCGATCGGAGATGTTTGAGCTATCGACAATTCGAGTCGCTCTTCGTTGGATGCTGTGCAGAGGGAAAAGCTGGTGGCCACATTCACGCAACGCTATCTAGTCCCAAACTAAGCAGAGCTTGTGCTATGAGTACTAGACAACTGATATAAATACATTTATACTTTTTTTTGTAATTAAATACATATTATATCAAACATTAAATGTTAATGCACACAAATGTTTGACTTGAACGTTTATAGAACCCGTGACCTTTGGAATAGCAGTCCGTTACATAAATCACTACGCCATCCAGTCGTCAAAAATTTACCAATCAACAAGAAAACACTTGTAATAATCATAGGAAAAGTACTCTTATATAATATGAGTAGCTCTATTCTCATAGATCAATGAAGAGGTGATAGGATTGTGGAATAATAGAGAAGTGACATCTCTGTTATTCCGAGGGGCTTTGTATTAAATATATTTTTATAGCATATAGAGACAAACGAGCATACGGGTCATCATCAACAGCCTTTACTAGTCCACTGCTGGACATAGGCTTCTCCATAGAAAGGAGGTTTCGGGTCACCTGATGGTAAGTCACTGCCGCCACCCATGGACACCTGTAACTCCAAAGTCACAGTCAGTGGGTAGACACTGCCTCTGTTCTGAGTTCTCGGGTTTGTTTCCGGGTCCGACCAAATGTTTGTATGATCTGCACATATTTGTTTCAGAGTTTGGGTGTTTTCTATATGTAATACGAGTATGTATGTATTTACAAAAGACGTACATAAGTATTCTATCAGTCAATCTAACTTACATAGTACTAGCTCTGCTTAGTTTGAAACTAGATGGCGTTAGGTGTCAGATATCCCAAAAGATTTTTATATAATTAGTAATACACACTGGTTACATATATACCATTATGGTACCGCCAGGCTGCCAAGTTCAAGATAACATTGCCTGAAAGCTCCAGATATTCCCCATACGGCGGGCTATTTGCGGCCATTGGCGGGCCTGTTGGTATCATCATCATCAGCCTATCGCAGTCCACTGCTGGACATAGGCCTCTCCATTTGCACGCCACTTAGATCAATATTCGGCTTCTCGCATCCAGCTCCTGCCAGGCATCTTGCGCAAATCGTCACTCCACCTGGTCTGTGGGCGTCTTACACTACGTTTACCGAGATGGACCTGGTCTGTTGGTATATTGGTTAGTGATCCCGACTGTTAAGCCAGAGGGGGTGGGTTCGATTCCCACACAATTCCACTGGATTTTGGACCTGACCTACCTATATATAAAACGATGAACAAATAAGACATATTATATTTGCTCATTTTAACTACGAAATACAACTTTAAAATAGGACTTACTAAAAAAATGTATTTTTACAGTAGAATTAGATCCTGTCAAAATTTAAACTGTTTGAACTCTTTATTTCATGAATACCTAAAGTCTCACTAGCATTTTGATCAACAACAGCTATTGAAAAGCCTTATAAATTTATTATACATTCGTTCATACTTGGAGATAGTGTCAGGACAGAATCGTAAGAGCCGACTAAGGGAACTAACTACGCAAGACAATAGCACTGTAAAGAGAAGGAAAAATTGAAACACCACGCTAGCCAGACGCAACCCGTTTGGTATAGGGTACCAGACGTTGCCAGACCAGCGTGGTATAGTAGCATCTTCAAAACATCTTTTCTAAATAGAGGCTTATGTCCAGCAGTGGACTATTAAAGGCCGTTGATGTGATGACTCACAATGATAAAATAGCATTACAATGTATTGATTTGAAAATTTTGAAAACAGCTTCTTTGAATATAATCCAATATGGCAAAGCTAATGTTTTGCTGTTACATTTTTTTCACACTTCTCATACACGGCAGTCTTTTTTTAAATCAACTCCCGAACTAGGAATATATGGTGCGCCGCGGTTATACATGAAACGGACACAAAGAATACTCAGACTAAGAAAAACAATTTGTGGATCAGACAAAGAGTTGTCCCATGTGGCGGTCGAACCCACAATACTCAGCACAGTAGCAAACAGCGAGGTGGCTTAAACTACTGTGTCATCCGTGCAGTCTAATCTGAAACTTTTTTTATCCTTTTCCAGATGTAATCAGACTGCTGAAAAATATACTTATATATTTCAAAATATCTACATATTATAGATAAACAAGCAGACATAGGAAAATTATCGTTCTAATCACACAATTTTTTGCCCTGGGTGGGGATCGAACCCACGGCCTCTGGCCTAGCAGTCAGGGTCACTAACTACTAAACAAGGCCAGTAAAAAAATATTTAACCTAATTGTACGTAAACATCAAGAAATGAATATAATACGTCTTTAACATATAAATACTCAGCCTATTTCCCCGAAGAGGTAATCAGAGACGTATCAAACTTTTGCTGACTATATTTGAATCCACTTGCATAATATGGGCAAGGCTATTGACATTGCTCGTATTGAAAGCTATAAGGGCAGCTCGAGTAGGTGGTACAGCTGACTTACTGACTTAAGCGATTAGATGAGAAAATTGTGTGTTATAAATGAAAAAGTCTGTAAGATGGGAACACAATGGGTAGGAAAGGAATATATCTTAATATATATTTTTTTTTGTATATATAGCTGGTTTCCTTTGACATGGTTGGTCAAAGACATTGTCAGGCGGACACGGACGGGCAGGTCCTTGCTCTGCATGGGGAGTGGGTCCAGCAAAGGTGCTGGACACTTGTTTTCATGATTTTTATTTGGTAGGGTAGTGTGATGTAGTGTTTTTTTACTAAAGAGCGTTATGTCTGTTTTTTATTTCCAGAGTTTGTGTGGTGTTGTTGCTTTTCTATCACGGTCTGTTACAACGGCTTCGTCTTTTTCTTACTATCTATTTGTGCCCTTTCCTTATTTTACAATAAACATTTCTTACTACTAAATTGTTTTCATATTTTATCCTCTACTTATTCTAGTTATCGTATTTTTAGTTACTATACAGCCTTATCTTATTATATATTAACACTATATATAACATAAAAAATGCTTAATCTATCTTATTTCTATTATTAACTACATCTACAATTTGTTAACAATACTTTATAAAATAACTAATAATTGTCTTATCATCTATAATTTTTCTTAAATTTTCTTTGCATATTTTTGTTTCTATAGCTTTTTCTACTTCGTATCTAATCTTAGCGTGTACTGGGCACTCCAGCAGCAAGTACAATATGTTACGTCCTTACCTATCTTACATATGCATGAGGGGCTGTCCTTGCATTTAAATCTATGCAAGTACTGGGAGAACCCCCCATGTCCGGTGATCACCTGCGTTAATTTTGGTGTTATTAGAAACTTTTTGATGGTTAGATAGGCGTGTACTGCATCGGGAAGAAACACTTTCGTGACGGAGACAGTTTCGATTGACTAGAACATTCTGTTCCATTCATCCAGGGTATCTTCACGGATAGACCTTTAAACGAATGCGATCGGGTATCGATCATAGTCAGGCCTCCTCCGGCTCGAAAGTGCTGCCTCCTTAGCTAAATATAAGGATATATCTTATTATAAGGATAACACGAGTAGGTCCTACACCTCTGACTCAAATTGACTTTAGCAATTAGGTGATAGGACTGACTATTGCCTCTAACCGGACACATACTACCTGTTCAACATCATTTTTTTAAATCAAGAGATACATCACGGAAAAACATGAAACAATATGTTTACTTCAATGTTAATCATATGGTTTGTGGATATTATCTCGTGAATATTATCTCTTCAACGATAAGTAGCTGCTAGTAAAAAGAGTTGATCATGTCATCTACAAATCTGATATCTCGATTCATGTACTGTACCATTATCTTAAAGGGGAAAAACTCAATCACTATATATTGAGGCGTCAATCCAGCTAACAGTACAATCTTACTTTTACTTTGAGTCAGCTCATCCAAGAAGAATTATTTTAAAATGTCTTTCGTTATTCGTTTTGGTATCATCGCTGTTCTGTGTATTGCCGCGTACAATGCCGAAGACTTGATTGTAGGTACAAGCGGTACTTTAGCATACAGTGATAATGTGAAAATATCATCAATACCATTTTCAACTAGAAGCAAAAATATATTTTACAACACTCAGGACACTGCCAAGATTATCAAGGTAAGTTATCAGTGCAGGGTAATTTATTATTTCCTGATATATTTATTATAATTGATGTTTGAATTAAGCTATTTATTCTTTAAGTATAATTATGTGTTGGAATTAAAAACAGGCTCCGGCACTCCTGTCCTAGACAAAGCTACCAGTACCTCGGGTACTATTGTGTCATATTGTGAATAATTACAAAAGAAGAACTATTTGTTTTCAAATAACATACTTTTACCTTGAATTCAAAATGAACTATGTTGTACTCGGCTTATGTTTAGCTAAAACTATTTAAGAAACAAACAGGTAGCTCAGTAGGTCATTGTTTAAATAATGTAATCGATTGAACGAACTGTTTTATTCAAAACTAGAGTTAGAATATCAAATTGACCAACTGATAATATCTCAGGACATCTAATTTATGCTTCGTACACAATTCAGCTCTAAATGTGGATCTAAAAAAAATAATGGCTAAAATATGCGTAGCATGGTAGCGAACCGTGTTTAAAATAAAATTGGTTAATTTACTCTTTGTCGAAAGCTTGTCTAAAGACCAAATAGTAAGATTATTATTATAGATATTATATAATAGACTTTGAAACATGGCAAAGGTAAAAATTGTCCGTCTTTTTCAGGGCTTATCAGTGATAGATTTAGCCAAATCAAAGGCTCGGGCGACTGTCACATCGGGTGGAGTGGGATCCACTTATGTGAACATTAAGCTGAAAAGTGAACGCGGCGAAGGCCTGAACTATTTGGTGCAAGTATACGTCTGAGCACAAGAGAGAGAAAGAGAGTTATAAGGATTTTCTAAATTAAAAATTAATTTAATAAAATGTGATCTTTTTTTTATTTCATAATATCTAATACATGTAAAGTGTATAAATCTTAAAACCATCATTAGCCTGTTTTCTCGTTGGTGTGATTTGTAACCTTGGAATGGAAATGCAATCGTTAGCAGAGATAAAAGAAGGTAACTCTTAACAATAATGACTTCAATCTGATCTCACATCAGGCAGAGCCAGTGTCATGATAACCACTCTGCTAATATTAATACTTATTTGTAAATACATACATATTACAAATAAATTACACCTAGAAACGGAATAAATGATCATAATCATTACACAATTATTTGCCGTGGGTGGGAATTGAATCCACGACCTGGGACTATGCAGTCAAGGTTACTAGCCTCAGGGTCAGGGTTTAATTTGACTGGCCTATTGACCTAGCCAACAGATGAGATGACATAGATCAAAATAGACAGGATATGGGAGCAAATGTAGGGGATACCACAATTCTTCGTTAGGGAAATGGGACGTAGGCTGCAGTACCTCGAAGAGTCCTGAATCTTGAACTCGAATGTTTGTACTGTGATTGAAGACGCCAGGACAACAACTGACCGTTGGTTATTGTTAGACATAGCTATTAAAATTTAAAACGTGATATTTATCGACATCAACAACAATACAAACAAACAACAAACAAACAAGTTTATTGAACCATCAAAGTTACATTTTGATAGGTGCTCTGTCTCCTAAACTAGGTTGATTAACCTGTATCTTAGGAGTCAGTGCCTTTCTTAATTAGAGGTACAATGGTTTTACAATATAAGTTATAAATCATGATAATGGAATGTACTTGTGGACATACGTATATATGTCAGCGTGTGTGTGTGTGTGTATGTGTGTTTATATGTGAGTGTGTGTGTGTGTGTCTGTATCTTTGTGTCAGTGTGTGTGTGAGTGGATTTATGCAAATATGAAACATGATACAATGAAAATATTTTCTTCTTATTCTTTTCCATGCATCAATGGTTAAACCTAGGTACTGTAATAATACAGCCTTCTGAAATAACACCTTTTAAAAAACTTAACAATAGTAACATGTAGGTAGTACTAGGTGTGTGAGTGGATGTAGTAGTAGTAGGTAGATTATGCCAATTAGCAAATTAACCAACCAACAAACAAATACTTGTAATAATCATAGTAAAAGTGTGTTTGAGAAGCTCAATTCTCATAGATTAATAGGAAGGCGGTAGGATTTTGGAATAATCACATCACACCACATCACATCAACAGCCTTTAAAAGTCCACTGCTGGAAATTGGCCTCTCGACGATGTGATATCTCTGTTATTCCGAGGGGCTTTGTAAAAAGAAATTATAGCAGGGGACATATAGCGACAAATGTGCAGACGGATCACCCGATGGTAAGTCGCAGCCGCCGCCCATGGACACCTGTAACTATATAGTCACAAGTGGGTGGACACTGCCTAGGTAGTGTAGTGGGTAGCGTATAAGAGGTCTCGGGTTCGAGTTCTGTGTCGGACCAAATGTTTGTATGATCGGCAAATGTTTCTTTCAAAGTTGGGGTGTTTTCTATGTATAATATGGATGTACTTAAAAAAAAACAGTTAATCTAGCTTTCATAGTACAAGCTCTGCTTAGTTTTTAGCTCGATGGCGTTAAGTGATAGATGACCGAAAGGTACGGTGCAGCCCTTGAAATCCTCTCTCAGAATCAGGGAGAAGGTGGTGTTTGTTATCCGGTAATCTCACTCATTCCTTCAAAAGCAATAAAAAATTGCTTGACAATTTTGTAGTGACGTATCTCTATAATTAACAGAGTGAGATGCAAAACATTAACAAGTAGATCATCATCATCATCATCAACAACATCCTTGACTAGTCAACTGCTGGACATAGACCTCTCCTTAGACAGGTGGTTTTGGCCTACTATACCACACTGGCCAGAGGGTTTGGTGTAGGGTTTGTTTCAAGCTTTCCTTCTCTTTGCAGTGCTGTTGTTCTGCGTAGTTTGCTCACGGGATGAATAGGGGTGGAGACACTCTGTATTTTTAATCCGTCACCATACGTACAGTACTTGATGCTCATTAAATATCCAATATACTACAATATGTGAGCGTAATGAGCACGAGTGCCAAAGTATGCAAATGCAAGGTATATGAGACTTCGCACATATTGGTCAGAAACCAGTGATGCGTGCGCGTAGGTCAGGAGATGGGGTAGCAACAATTTGAACATCATTTTATAATGAATTATTACAAGTCATTCGTCAACAGCCTTTAATAGTCCACTGCGAGATATAGGACTTTTCTTAGGAAGGACGTTTTGGCCTACTATACGACGCTGGCAGGACTGGCTGCAATAGGGTTTGTGTCAAATTTTCCTTCTCTTTTCAGTGCTATTGTCCTGCGTAGTTGGCTTTCTTAGTCGGCTTTTACGACACTTACGGGATGAATAGGGGTGGGGACACTCCGTATTCTTTATCCGTCACCACACGGATAAAAAGTCTGATATTTTAAAGCTGTAGAGTTTGTTTCTTTGTTTGGTTTAGCGCGTTAATCTTAGGAACTACTGATTCAAAAGGAAAAAAAAATGTGTTGAATAGCCCTTTCATCGAGAATGGGCTATGTAAGAGCTATATGACTATTAACATGAAATAAGGTGTATTATAAAAAATAATGTTGCAAAAATCGGGTAAAATTTATTCCTTTTGAGAGACTCAGTCGAAGTTGCGCGGATCGTCTAGTGAGATTATAAGGTTTTTTTTTAAATGTAAAACATCATAGTAACCGGGAGAGCAGTGAAGATTTGAAACGGTGACAAAAAAAGAACTAAATTCATTCATAATCCTGTCCTAGAACAGCTATAAAACTTGACCATGGTTAATTTATGACAAACCGAAATTAATAAACATTTGAATGTAAGTTGATTTCTTTGAAATTATACATAAGAAGTATATTCTACATTATCACATCATATCATCAGCCTATCGCAGTCTACTGCTATTCTACATTATGTTGCCAACAATATTTTTTACTCAAATAAAGAGGGCTAAGTCTATTGGCATCTCTCTGGAACTAGAGATGGAAATTAAAGATGATAAAATTAGGAGTATGTCGAAAAGTGAACTTATTTTTTTTATGAATTAAAATCAATCGATTTTTAATATTTTTATTAAATGAAATATGCTTTTAATTTCTTCTACTTATAACAAGTTGGAGAGTTCGGACTTCAAAAGGCAGTTCGAGTTACAAGTACCTTAACTTGGTTGAGCTGTTACTTATATTCCCCATACTTATTTTACCGTGGGAGAGCCATGCTTCGGCACGAATGGGCCGGCTCCACCGGAGTGATACCACGGCCTCACAGAAAACCGGTGTTAAGCAACTGTTTCGTTGTCTTTTACTGAGTGAGTGAGGTTACTGGAGCCTAGATCGCTGACTCGAGCGAGAGGGACTCCAAGGGCGGCAACGCACTTGTGACTTTTGAGTTGCAGGCGGCGGTAGTTGTTTACCATCAGGTGTCCTGTCTGCTCGTTTGCCCCCTTATATCATAAAAAAAAACTCTCTTCCAATTTTGCCAAAATGTCAATTAACTGAGCACATCTGACGTAAATGGGATTAAAGTTAGTTATAAAAAGATAATCCTGAGCAGTATTTGTGACATAGATCCTTGATCAAAACATGATATCACAGCATTATTCACTGACCCAACTCCTAGCCTAGAATGTTGACTCTGGCCCGTTGAATATGCAGTGCACTGGGCGTGCCCTAAACTCTTGTAAGCCTTTGTTTGGGCCCGATATTGGATCCCGACGTTTATCGGCCACTTTGATACAGTTGCCCTAAAATATTCATGTTGTTTATATGCCGGGGTCTGCATTCATTGTGTTCATGTATACTACAGAGAATGATGGGTTCACGGAAACATATTAACTACCTAGTAATTGTACCATGCCTTCAATGTGTATTAAGACATATGCCTACGATTTGAAGATGAGCTGGTTGTTTGGGTGCCGAACTACAAAGAAATACATGACGTTATAAGTATTTGTGTTGGTAGATTTAAAATCTAAATGCATCTAGAATACAACAGTTAGTCACTCAAGAAGCGATGTTGTCTTTTACTAATGCCTTGTAATGATGACGCAATGGAAAATGTATCGGAAATCGAGATATGTTTTACAGTCTTTCTTTCTTATCTTTTTCCTCAACATTATATTATTAAGATAAATTCCGTTAATGTTATTGTAATCATGATCTTCCGAGAATAGATATAAATCGTTATGAAACTTTTTTAAACGACTTCAAAATAGAGGAGTTTATCAATACTAATGTAAAACATTAGTATTGATAAACTATGTATTAGATAGAGATATTTTATGTATGTTTCGTCATTTATAGACGGATTAGCGAAATTCCTTTTTTTGTTCGAAAGGAGTTTATCCGAAATAGTTTCATTTAAATTTCATATAGATCTGATGATGAGTTTCGGAGACAGACAACAGAACTGTTAAAAAAATTACAGCAAATGAATCACGATTGCTGCTACGTTTTTAGTGCTCTTTGTTAGGATTGTTTGAAGTCGGTTCGACTTTTTTTTAAAAAGACATCTTGATTTTTAAAAAGTTAAATGGTTCCAGTTAAAATGAAACATTAGTAACTAAAGTAGACATAAGAATTAAAGGACTTGGGACCCTTACGTTCCGAATAACATAGGTATAAGTATAGCGACAGATATTTTCACGCTGTCGCATCCTTCTGCAGAGATGTAATTTAACAGGAGGCAATGTAGATAGTCTGGGAGGAAGATTTCCACTCAGATGCTATTAGCCGCTGAGCGAAGCAGGCAGCGGAGGCGCGCCTTCCAGCGTCTCATACCGCCCTGAGTGTAGCCACAGTTGAACGCGAGGGATTTATTCTCCATTCGCCACAATGACCACACCCGAAGTGTTTCACCCGAAGGTGCTG